TTCACACTGTGATTAAAAGTTACAAAACTAAAGGTGAGTTCTTTATTTTCAGCTCCTTCAAACCTTCCGTGTCACCTTACTCAACCTGAAACATCCCTATATCTCAGTTTTCTTAGCTGTAAAATGGAAAACATGATTTTAAACCACACAGTCCCACAGTGCACTGGAAATACAAATGCATTAGTATCTGTGAAGTATTTGGAAGATATTATTGAGTTGAAGGTATTATTTCAGAAAGAAGCAACATTATTTCAAAATTTTAATATAAATCTGCCCTTACTAATTCTGTCCTTTGTTTTTACTACACTTTTCCTCTACTGTAGATAGAGGATCTATTGTACTAAATCCATTTAAATGATTGTTCCCTGTATATCAATCCTAACCCGGCAATGAATTATTATATCTTACAAAATAATGTTAAATGCAGAATCCCAACAATCAGGATTGCTTTACTTCAAACTTAAACTTACTATGCAGTCATTACAGCGACATTACACAAGCTATCTTGTGTTTTAAGAAAAAAAAAAAGAAGGGAAAAAAAAAAAAGAGCCCTCAGACCATGGGACCGAAGAATCAAGAAAGGCTTTCAAAATAAGTCTGAGTTCAGTATCCCTGTGAAAGAACTTCTCCTGCCTGTGAACAATTTTTCCAACCCCCTGAGACCTTAAAAGATCTCTTCCTTCCATCAAAGCCCACTGTGGCGCTCCCCATACGGCCCACAGCTCAGAGGCAGACACTGGCTGAAGCTTTCCCCAGAACCCTAGAGGCACTTGCCCACTGCCTCCCAAAATGACAGACCTCTTCCCTCTCGGGGTGCACTGCAGGTTCAGCACATGGGGAGAGTGTGCATCAGCATCACGGCGATGCCTGTCCCAGCTCATCTTCTGTGTGGGCAGGGTGATTCCCACACCTCCCTGCCTGCCTGCCACAGGAAAGGTGGTTTTGACCCTTGGTCCTGGCTAGGGGCAGGGTGCAGTGCTCTGAACATCATGGCAAGAGGTCTTATGGACCATGGTGGTTAAAAGCACCATATGTCACTGGCTGGCGCAATAAATAGTCACAGCCTTGGGGCTGGCAGTCTGCAATATGCTTGCAGCTAGTACCTAAAGCTTCTCTGCTGCCTAGAGAATTGCAAATCCTAAGGATGTGACATTTTAACTGGTGTATTTTAATGAACTTAGCTGTGATTCCTTTCAATCCCTAAAGTTCTTTCCTGCAAATCATTTCAGGGGTGAATGAAGAGCCCAACCCCTTCAATGGAACTCCTCCTATTGACTTTGGTTCCAAAGAACTCAGGATTGGTCTGTATGATTTAATTTCTATTTTAAAGGTTTAGGCAATCTTAAGAACAACCTCAGCTATTTTAAACCACGTTAATTTGATCATACTAACCTACAGTTTGCAGGCTCAGAATTCAACATCCACAGTCAATGATGACTCAGACTACTCATTCCTTTCTGCATTTTTTTTCTCCTTTTTTTTTCTTTTTTTGGAAAATAAGCCATCTCACAACCTTCTGTATTACTATTTTGGCAGTTGTGATTTATACAACCAGATATCAAAGACTTTCAAAGTTGGATGACCAACTGGAGGGTTGGATGACCAAATCTATTCCAGTGGAGAATCTAAATTGGTTAGACTCATTGTTTATATCAGGATTTTCCCCTCTTAGGTCACAAACAGTCTGCTAGGGAACTGCGAATGAAGGTACAATGCTGGCCTTGAGACAAAACCACCCACATGAAGTAAATTTAAATCAGTGCTTCCTCCAGGAAACAAAGTGTTGTATTACTTACAATCAGATCTGATTATGGTTTAGGGAACTCTTTAAACCCATCTAGCAGATCAAAGGAAAACAGATTTAAACTGCTGTGCTCATTGTTTAACGAACACTGGTTGATTGATGCAAAGATCAACATGCTTGATGGCTCCTAGTAAAAGTTTAGTGAAAACACAGGTCATACTAAAGATGGAAACATCCAATCTCACCATTTCATCAAAATATCTTCAGATTTTAGATTTTAAATTGAGGCTAAAAATAGCTTCATTCTAACATTTTTGAAATAAAATCAAGTTCATGAAAGCTATACAATGAATAAGGTCTCAACACTGTGTTGGCCTCTCTCTTTGAGGCCATAAAAACACCCATTAATCTCATCACCAAGAACACATCAAAACCACATTCACAGCATCACAGCATACAAGACATCTTTATGCATGTTTATGTACTATAGCATCCAGTAAACATGCAGATCCACACAGCAGCATGCAAACAGCCTAGCAAAGAGAGGGTTAAGACAAAGAATATCCTCAAAGCAATTTCAATAATTCCTCTAGATCACGGTGTTTGTGAGAAGTATTCTAGATGGAAAGCAGGCCTCGTATCAGTTCAGAAGTTGTTGATCTGACACAAGCCAAAGGAACTGGCAAACTGCAAGGAGAAAGTTGCTAGATAAAAAAAACCAAAACAAAATAAAACAAATAAACAAACACAAGGAGCAGAAGGCTCATGTTAAGAATCAGCTGGATCTCTTGTACTTTCTAGAAACAATTATTTTACCTTTAATTTCAAGGGAGCTTTGGGGGAAAAGACTGAAGGAAATATAGTTCATTTTAGCAAAGCGCATATTGCAAAAAATAAATTTAAGAATCTATTTTTGGGCTTGAATGGTTGAAGAAATCCCTGATTAGCCTCTTAATGGGGTGAGTCCAATTTATTGAGAATGATCACCAGAGGGAGTCATTGACTTTCCCGTTAAAGTCAAAGGGAATTTTACATACTTCAGGAATGCAGAATTTGGGGGCAGAGCTGAGAAAGACTTCAAACAGACTGGAGTTCAGGGACTAACACAAGCCACTGTTTTATGGATTTAATCTGAATCCATTTTCCCTTTTGGAGTCCCAAAGGATGACTGATATATTCCATGGTTAAGGTTAGACAGAAGGCACTGAAGTCTTTAATTCAGTGGGTACACAGTCTCACAAAAAACAAACAAACAAAAAAAACCCACCATCCCCCCAAAAAAACAAACCAAAAACAAAACCAAAACAAATCCCAGCACTTGATTGGTTTTACAGCAATTTGGACTGGTGCAAATAATAACTTCTCAATTTTCTCTTTGGACATGCAACATATGTTCCAACTGAAAATGCAGTATTTAACAGCACAGAGAAAATCTCCAGGTATCATATATGAGATTATGTCATACCTCTTGGTAATATCAGGACCTCAAACAGTAAAAGAAAAGAGTAAAATGGAAACAGAAAGAATTGTTAGCATGAGGTCTTTGTGTTGTTGTGGTTTGTTTGATTTTTTTGTCTTCAATATTAGTGACTAAAAGAGGAAGTGAGAATAGGGATTTGTGAATGAAGTAATAAAATGAACTAAGTAGATGAACCAGTCTACTCAGCCATGAGCAAGCATGCATTTTATGCTCAAACACCTAAATTTCATAATCTTCAAAGAAATATTTTCATGTTAAGAACTCGGCTTTTCTTTGCTGGACTTCAGCTCAACCTTGTTCTTGCCACAGAAGCCCAGCAGACTTTGGTTTGGAAACAAGCTCATTCACTCGGCAACTTTCTCCTTAATTCTGTACAATAAAATTATATAGCAGAAAATTAGGAGATTAAGAAAAGACAAGGCAACAGGCCCACCCAAACAAATGCAATTTCACCTCTCTAGAAACGTTCTCTGAACAAATGGAATTCAATTTGTTTCTGTGTTCCCAAGTAATGGCAGCACCTTGTTTTCTTTGTTTATTTAATTACTTCTTGTTCATGCAATTAGCTGACAGACTGCAGCCTTTTGTTCATTATAACACAATTATTTGCATAGCTGTTTCCATTTTGAGCTTGAATTTTGGACAGAAGCTCTATTTTGGACTGTGGCAGGCAGAGCCACTGTTGGGAAGCCTCATGCAGGGCAGCACGCAGCAACCTGCTCCTTCATGGAGTGAGTCGCTCCAGGAGCTGCCCTGGCTGCCCATCTGCTTCTGACAGCAAATCAAAGCCCTGTTCCCAACATGCAAATTAAGACCTGGCTGTCTGTCATCATAGGTACCACCAGAAACCAGCTGAGTTCATTCTAAAGCATTTTCACCAACAGGCTACCCATGCATAATTTTCTGCCCCTTAGGAAAAACTTCCTCACTGAAATGGTGGCAGGCATTGGAATGAGCTGTGCAGGGGAGTGGTGGAATCATCATCCCTGGAGGTGTTAAAAAAACATGTAGGTGCGATCCTTGGGGACACGGTTCAGTGGTGAACATGGCAGTGCTAGGTTAATGGTTGGAGCTGATGACCTTAAGGGTCTTTTTCATCCTAAATGGTTCTATGATTCTAAGGTGTCACTCTGGTCAATATATACATTAATTTAAAAATATCAGTACTCTTTCAGAGATTGGATGAAAAAATTTAGAGGTGGAGACTATTTTAGGCTTTCTTTCATGAACAGTTTAACATCCAGTTCAGTCTAGTGCTGTTGTGATGCTCAAATGAGTTTCTGCATCATTAAATCTTTTTTTAAACACTCAAGATATATCTCCATATCACAGTTTTGCAGAATGCTGACCCTCTCCATTAATAAATGCAGCAATCACCACCCTCCAAGTCCTCTAAGTTTCTGCCAGGGAACTGACATCACCTTATTTTTATCTAGGTTGCTCAGAAGTTGAGGAATCTGCACCTTCTTACAGGAACAAGAGGCAGAGTCAATGCAGGGGGAAGACTGTATGCTCTGCTGCGCAGAAGCCACCTTCATCTCAGCCTCCAGGCACCTAAAGCCCCCCAAAACTCAACCTCTCAGGAGAAATTATACACCAACATGCCAACTTACACTATTTGAAGTACAGAGAGCTGGAACAGACAGCTTGAAAAAATTGTCAACCTTTGTCATTTACGATTCAAACTTCATATAGGACCCACTGCTCCGGTCAGGGTTAGTTCTGTAACCAAATGTAGCAAGGTGCAGCCTTTTAACAGCATTGTTTTAGTCCTACCTGTGCCATCTGCCTCTCCAGCTTTGACCGGGGAATATCATCAAAATAGTTTTCATTTCTTCTTCTCCTTGCATCGCCCTGCATGATAATGTGGGGAACGTCCAGGGAGCCACCAGTAGTGAAAGTGCTTTGGCTAAGTGATGGAGACAACTGAGGAGGAGTGTGGTTACCGCTGGGTTCCTGGACAGAGAAATAAAATGCAGCATAAGAACAGCATATTACTGACTTCAAACCACACATTTAAAAGTGTATTTGAATGGTTCAAACTAAAAAAAATAAGGAACAATTCCTGCAGTAGAGGTTACTGTGGATGAACTTTTGAGATTTGCTACCTAACGTGCTGAGCCCATGTGGAAGGAAAAATAATTCACTATTTACATGAACTAGTGGCAAACTTCCTCTCCAAAACATCCTTGTGTTATATATACTTCCTTCTAGGACTGCTGGAGAGATAAAACAGTGAGTTACTTCTTGTCAAGGCCCAAATAAAGCCATGATTTAGGACTAGCTATTTGTAAGATGAAATACATTCTCACTACTGAGCAGCCACTCTGAGCAGTGAAAGTGATTTGAAAGTGATTTGAACTCTTGCAACATCTCTTGCTGGAAAAAAAGAAATGCATGTCCATTTACACAGTATAGATACTTTGTTGCAATTTTTATAGGTTTTGCAGAACATCCATTTTAACTGGAAGTACCAGATATCAGACACAAGCTAAGTAACAATTCCTAGAACACATGAAAGCATCAGAGCACAAATATTTCACTGGTCTTTTCTTGTTATCTGTGATGAACCTTGTATCAGTCAGTGTACAAATACCATACTCAGTTGATACATAAACTCTATCTAATAAATAGGTAAAGGGGTCCTCCTGATCATCCATTTTACCAGAATCTGCTACCACACCGCTCATTTGTAGCCACCATTCGTATGTTTGGAAACACTTATTCTCATGCACATCACATCACTTGTTCAAACACCAACTACAAACATCAGTGCCCAGCTCTACTGTTCAACACTCTTGGAGGTCCATCAGAAGGAGCAGAGACCTACAGCCTACTGGCCAGACAGTCTGCATCTGTACCATCCCAGTGTGGGCAGTAAAACACTGCCATAGCAACCGAATGGGAAAACGTTCCCCTCTCATGATGTAGGTTACTGGGCTCAATTTATCTGACACAAGAGATTTCTCTGATAGTAAGTTCTCTGGAGGCAGAATGTACCCAGGAGCATGTTTGCACAGTGTAGACTTTCTCTAAATCACCTGTCGCTGTAATACTCTATTTCAATACTTAGCAACAAGAAGGGACCTGAAAATATTAGAGGAAGCACAAACCTGCACCAGTGTGCATGGAGGGTAAAAAGTTCTGCCTTTTTATTTAAAGAGAGAATTAAATTGGATGATTCATGCATGATTAGGTTGAAGCAAGCCCAGTTCTGAAAAGCATCAAGATACTTTACTCGATGCTGTTAAGAAACAAGAGCTGGTGTAAGAAATCAGAGAGTAATAATCTCTTCCAAATGGAAAGGAAAGGGACTCAAGTCATAGTAACACCTGATGTTAACATTTGAAGTGTAGGAGTCTATGTGACATTATTCCTTGCAATCACAGTAATGGATGAGTATTTTTCATTTTGGCTCTAGTCAACCAACAAGAAAAAATATAGGGAAATATAGTTAAGCAATTTTTAATTACCTTGGATTTTTTTTTTAAATTCTCTAGCTTTCCTATGATTTGAGACAAGCACTTGACATTTCCCAGGGCAAAGAAAAGAGTGTTTTCCTCTTAGGAATAGTCTTTTCCCTCCTTCACAAAAATCCACCTACAGTCGGCCCAGTTACAAGCTTCTAAAAAGCTGTAGTCTGCACATGCTCAGGTTTGGTGGGGCATAATCTCTAAAACCTACCCTCTCTGGGCCTGACAAGATGGTGCACAGACCTCTGCCCTGAAAATAACCTGAGTACAGGGGCACCAAACAAGATCCTCTTTACTGACTGCTACCTGCTGCTTCAGATAGGTAGGTAACCCCTCTCTGCTCCAAATCACGATTCACACACTATCATTAGACTGATAGGGCTGTCAGTGCATCAAAGAGACAGATGACCATGCAATGAACATGTAGATTCCAGCTCTCATCGAGCTTTTCATATTTTATCAAATTGCATGTAAAGAGGAAGTTCACTCTGAGATCTATATGGGAAGATTGCTGGCAAGGCAATGCAGACGAGAAATACCAAGTCAAGAAATACAAGAATTATCATGCCTTTGCATTCTGGAACAGTATGTAATTATATGATTTTATGCTATTTTCTCACAGTCGTCCTTCACAGCACAGATGGATCCTCAACTGTGCAGCATATTGTCATATACTCAGCACCGTGTTATCATTAGTTATTGTGTAGTCAGTATCTTATTCTCACCTTGTTTCATGGCCCCAAACCCCTTTCCTAAACTCTATTCACATCCTGCTCTAAAGATAGGATGATTAATACTGTCATATTCATGATGCTCATAACTGCTTTATAAATGTCAATCAATTAATTTTCACCATGCCCCTGTGACTTCTGGCATTTTATAATCACCACTTCTGTGTGGGTGACATGAGATACACAAAGTTTAGAAAGTATCAGTCACCTCGTATGACCAATTAGAATGTTTATTCCTGATTTTCCAAGTGCTCGTATTCCAAAATCCGCTGCTTTGTTGATGTAATTTGTAGCACTGTGTGCTCAGCACTAGCATAAACCAGACTCCAGTCAAATATGCAGAATGTTGGTAACATACAATTAGCAACTGTTTATGAGGCAATTAACTAAATAACAAGCATTATCCAAGGTTTTTGTGGCAAAAGCAGATGTAAATCTGTATTTTCATAGGTACAGCTATTCCTTTAATCATGAGCCCCTCTCCCATTCTTCCTTCATTCCTCATCCTCACTCCATACCCACCTTCTCATCTCCTCAACAAACCTGCAGACCAAGCATGGACACCCTTGCAGGTGCTACCACGGCCTCAGTACCATGATACTGTTAGTCACCAGGTATTCATACCATGTTTCTACTTGGCTGTGAATGCAAGGATATATGACCTGAAGGGATGTCTGACCATATATTTCACTTTCAAAATCTGTTTCATGCCCACCTGTCAGTCCTGCCAGTCATATAAACCTGGAAAAACAAAGGTTAGGGCTGGAAGGGAGCTGAAGAGATCCTTCTTCAAGCCGCCTGGGAATACCTCATGTCCCACAGATGTTTGTCTAACCAGTTCCCAAAAACTGGAATTCTCTCTGGTGAATTAATTCTTGTGTTATACTGTCATTACTATTGTAACACTTTTCCAAATTTTCTGCCTAAATTGATGGTCCTTCACTTTAAATTCCAGCCTCCAGTGCTGACTGGGTGCAGACAGGCTTCCATGAATAATATGGAAACTGCTTCTGTAATTAAAGATTATCATGCACTCAAAGAAGGACAACAAGATTACACAAGTAAACTGAGATCCAGCAATTACTATACTTCTGAATATATAACTTTGAATCAAAATAACTTTTCCTTAGTACACAATTATTGTGGGAATAACAGATTTTGTAGATATTTTTAATGCTTTTTTGCTTTTCCTCAATATTTAACCTTTTCCTTTGAAATATTTTAAAGGCTAATACAAAAAACAGTCAAAAAAGATAAAGCATTAGCATTGCTTAAGTTGAGCTTGGGACCTTAAAAGTAGACTCTTTAAATAACAAACTACCTTTCCTACTGATCTAGAGCAGCCTGATCTAGTGGAAAGTGTCCCTGCCCATGGTAAAGAGGGTTGAAACCACGTGATCTTTAAGATCCCTTCCAATCCAAACCATTCTATGATTCTAAAGAAATCAATCTTCTAGCAGCAGCAGACAGTTTATTTAAACCAGTTTTCAAGCTACAAATTATTGCAGAGTACAAACTAAACACTATGTCTTTCTTTTGTGTAAAATGGCATAGAAGCAGTTGATGGAAAAAACCCTTTATTCCAAATGCATGTCCTCCTCTTTAGGATTCTCTGTGAAGTCTCTAGTACCAAGAGGTGATAAATGACATTTAGCACTGGCCCGCATCAGTAGCTCTAGCTGTGGCGCAGCAGATACTTTTTATCACTTTGACTACAGATGGAGGACATCCAGTTTTCTCTTCAGAATTAACTGAGAATATATAGTCCTGACCAAGAATGTGGGCTGTGGAAACTTTCCCACCCGCTGAAGAGGAATAGATTCTCCTGTTCAGAGTACTGAAGGCATTGAGAAAAAAGTGTGCCTTTCGATATATTTCTCTTTCCTTGGAGTGTTTTAACACCTGTCATGCATCAGGAATCATTCACATAATACATAAAAAATAAAGTACAAGAAAAACATTTACATGTATGTGCAATGTGCCTTAAAGCACATTATAGACTTGTCAGACCTTTTTCAATATGCATTACGAATAGGTTGAATTAAGGGGCGGGATCTAAAATGCCTGTATGGGGCATCTGAGAATAAGCAGGGTGAAAATCGGCTGGTCACAGAAATTTTAAATGCACTTGAAAATAAGCCCTCATTCTGTCTTTCTGTATTTTTCTTTACACCAGAAAATTTAACTTGGGAGCACTGACACTCTGACATTTTTAAATTTAATCCTAAATGAGATTTCAGTCAGAAATGCTGCCTCATAAAAATAATCAGATCCAATCAAATGCAAAAGGTGTGACCTAAAATATAAAAATAAAAAGTGTTGCTATGAACTCCCTTGGAGAGAACACAGTAGGAACTGGTCATCAGACTACAACTTGATAAGAGTAGCAGACAGCAAGTAAGCAAAGGCATTGGATTGGAGAAACTGAGTGAAGGTGGTATAATGAGAAGAGATTAAATGTGGTCAAGTGTGGAAAAACCCCAGGGACATCGCAACAACATTTCTGAAAGAGGGAATACAAATGAAAATTAAAAACATGATGAAACTTTTGATATACAGAAACATCTTAATGGCATTTATATCAACAATTTCAAGAGGTTCTCCTTAAAGACAGCCTAAAGCATATGTCTGAAAAGTAAGTGCAAGCCTTCAAAAACATAAAAGGAAAATGGTAACACTCCTTCAGCAGTATCGATCAGCTGGGTTGTGCAGGGATTCCTGAGGGCAAATGTAGATGTGCAGCTTGTACACACCTGGTTCTGAGCTAGTTTCCTGAGCAAAGATAAGCTGGTACTTCTAAGATACTATTTATCCTAAGGCAGACATCTGAAACAGCTCAGATGAATCACCCTGTAAAAATGTCAGTTTATCTCTGCTGGCTATATGGGGAGATGTGACTGAGCAGGTCAGCCTAAGATGTCCATACTGTACACCTCTGAAGTGAGGTAAATTGAACCCCACTAAAAGCAGCCATTGTTTTCATGTGAATGTTACGAAATGCTTACTGACTTGTTGAGAAATGCAAACAAATTTTCATGGGGACCTACCCTGAGGGTTATTGACCGAGGTGGTTTCTGAGGAGGATCTTCGTGAAGCCTGTCTCCCAAAGACGCCAGAACGCGCTTCCGGTGGCCAATCAAGCTAATTTTTAAGACCTGAAATAATATCAAAAATATCTCATTAAAAAAACACATGGCAATCATTAAATAAAGATCCATTCAGAGTGAAGCCATTTTCTCTTTAAACTTTTTAACAAGTTAGTCCTCTAGACAGGCTGAGCAGACAGAGTGTGAGGCAAACAATCAGCAGAGAAAATGAGAAGTGAGATCAAACAGAGAAAAAATGCCGTAAAATGAAGGAAGAAACTAGAGCAAGTACAGATGTGGAAGACTGAAAAAAACAGACTGAAAAATGAGTAAAGAGGAGACAAAAATGAAATGAAGAGAAGGTAGCAGAGTAGGAAGAAAAAAAAGGAAAGGGGATGAGGAGACTGGAGAAGGAAATGTAGAAGAGCAGGCAAACGGTGAGTGATGAGGATTAAAGTGATTCATTGGATGGATGAGGAAGAGAGAAAGGAATGCTTAGAGGGGGACAGAAGGGAAAAAAGAAATCATACAATGGATAAATGTTATCACTTCTAAATCTACTCATTATGCCTTTCACAGGTAATCTCCAAACATCACATGCAGTTTGCATTATGGTGGAGAATCATCCTTGTGTAAGAAACACAGGATGGACAAACTTTGTCCTGAAGTTCTATTACTTTTATCAGATGCAAAGAAAAAAACATGTTGCACACAAACATGTCCACCAGTGGATATGTTCAAATATCTCATGCTTGTCCAAACTCCAAGAATGCTGCCAAAAAAGTTGTTCCAAATTTTCTGCAACTATTCTCCATCTGTATTTCTCTGTGTCCCTGCCACATACAAAACCATCATCACTCTCAGGAAAACAGGGAAAAGAGAAGCAGTGAGTTGAAAACTTTACAGATTAGTGGGGAAAAAAAAAATCATATTTCAATGGCTACAATGGCTGTAGTGTAAAGAGTGTAAAGCAGCCCTAATTGTAGCAGCAAGCCTCTGCTTTGCAAACAGAAGTGTCCTTACGTAACTTCCAGACTGTATATGTGGTTTTATACACCAGAGCTGCCTCCATTCCCTCTCAGAAAACAGTACTTCCCACTATATTTAGGACCACTGTGTGTCAACACTCTTCAGTCGAGAGGAAGTTCTCGCTCAACCTAGAAAAAGTAATAGTCCCCAAAAAAACCCTGAAAATGCTGTATCTTAAGTGAACAACTACTTCAGCTTAAGCAGCAGCACTAAGAGCTACCATTCACAAGAACAAACAAAACCCAAATCCCAGCACCTCGCCTACTACATCTCTTAGATCCAGTATCTCACAACACACTGTCATTTTATTCTAGTATCCATCCCTATGCATCCATTATCCTGTCAATCCATGGGCATGTGAATTTGTCCACATTTCCTCTTTTAGAGGTCTTTGTGCTGTTTGACACTGTTAAACATCAGTACCATCTTGTTTACCCACATCTACAAAGCGATGGGCTATGACATGAAGAAGATGGAGGCCTTCCTCCAAGAGGCAGCTTACAGAGGTGTTGCAGACCCTGCAGCTCAGCAGCAGACCCAAGCTGCAGAGTCCCACAAACCACCCTGTTATGTGATACTCTTTCAGCCCAAATCTAGAGAAGTACGAGTGAAGCTGAGATAATGCAGCACACACAGAAATGCCTGAGGCATGCAGGAGACTTAGTTATGTATTCAGTTTACATTGAGTGTTAAACAGAAGGGTGCACAGTTTGTCTCCATATTTAACCATATGAAACACGTGCATGAACTACAGCTGCTTTAAGCATTAGTCAAGTAATGCACTTCAGTGAACTTGCTTCTTTCATAATGCTTCCCCATCAACAAGATCATTTATCCAGAGATTTTTAAGCCAAGCTACAGTTCTTGGGTTGTTTCAAGGTCCTCAGCACTCTGACTGTCTTATTAGCTATATCAAACCACACAAAGTAATTCTCTTTGACTTCACAGAGCTGTTGAAGAACAGGAGAGAAAAGGACATGAGTCATAAGAGATGAGTAGACAGGTCTAAATGGCTAAATTATTTCAAAAACTGTGCTCAATTTGAAAGTAAAACAGATCTTTAAACACCATATGCACTGCTAAGCTTACTCCACCTTTTGTTTTTCCAATATAATGGTGGCCACCCCAAATCTGAAGTGAGAGGGATTTAATGATGCAACCTACAGAAACATATGGTCCTCAGTCAAAAGGCAGTTGCATCACAGTCTCGTCTGGAGCACATAGTCCACTAACTGAAGACAGTTGTATTCTTCTGGAAATGACTCCCTAGCAATTTTCTTACTTGGAAAACCTGTTACTTAACTTACAAATGTAAAACACTGTTTTGTGAAACACTTCTATATTTGAGTTATAAGAGTTTAACAAACATCCTAAAACTCTGGAAACTTGTTCTGTGATGGATTATCTTTGACAGTATTTATCAAAAATGTCCAGTATCACAAATTTAGGTCAACAGTGTGGAATGGTACAGCTGCCTAAAGCAATACCTTAGACATATGCTAATGCTGTGTTTTAGGTAACCATTAAAAGTCATGCACTTACATAGCCCACAAGTTAGCTTCCCATGAATAATTTGTATATACCAGGTAACACTGAACACAGTAACACTGAATAGGGACAGTCAACACAATACACCTAAGAGCTATGTAGTGAAGCATTTTGTCAAATAGACTGTAGGCTACTTAGTATACAACAAAGAAATGAGTTTTGCAGTGTTGCTGTAGGAATCAGCAACATGGCATGAACCTGCTCAGAGTACCTTAAGGCCACCCACGGCCTGTTATTTCCTTACTGGGACAAAAGAAAAAAAAAAAGCATGTACATGACATACTTCCTTCCACACTGACAGCAGGATACCTGAGACAAAAATGATACAACTTAATCTCATATATTTGATTATATTTGATGCTGTAACACAATTAAAGGAGAATGGGGCAAGTCATTTGTCCAGAGAACTGATAAATGCACACAAATTTAATCTTATTTTTACCTCCATACTCTGCAATGATTAGCATACAAAATGAAATTCCACTAGGAAATGTAAGAAATCCACAAATACAAGCAATGTAACACTTTACATTTAGATTTCTGGCTTAGTTGACAGATGTTTCAAAAAATACATGTAGCCCAATAACTCCCTGATGACTGTGTATGTGCAGATGCTGGAATTAACAAGTTATTCCATCTAAAAATAAGTATTATTTCTGCAACATTCTTCTGCCTGATCTTTTCTTCTAATTAAATAATAATATCCAATATCCAATACTGTATTTTTATAATTATTCTACCTTTCTTTAAGAGTATTATAAAGATTACAGAAATTCAGGACATCAATTCCTTTTCTTTTCGAAGAATCTGAAACGTTACTGTACGGGCTAAAATTAGTACTATAATAGCACAAGTGGTCTGGACTACATGTGTAACAGCAACTGAACGCTAGGAACACACTATTAAGCACTATTGAACACGCAGCCACAAAGTGCAAAACTAGAGAGGGATAAGAACAGAACTAGAGAGTCATAAGAACAGTACTAGTGATTCTCTGGTAGCAGCATCAGACACTTTAAAATTTGAGAAAAAAATAGTAAATGCAAGCCAACAAAGTGGGATCTTCCTATTTCTACAAGTAAATGGCCCAAAACCCTAGCTAAATTAATTTTTCTTAACCATTTTACTGCTGGTCATATTGGAGTAAACTCCAAGGTATCTGGAATTGCAAGTGGAGGATACATTTACTACCTCTTTCCTGCCACAGTGCTGACCCACAGGGCTAATCCTAAAACATGGCAGTGCCCAGAATACCCACCAAGTGAGTCCACATCAGCCAGTACAATTCACCTGATTATCATGACTGATTTAACCAAAAACTTGAAAAAGGACTAGACACACTTGCTGTATAAATTCTCAGCATCAATAACTGTTCCAAACTTTACAAATCCTACCCACAGAACTGCTAGAACACTAATGCAGCATTAACAGTTAAAACAAACACACAAACAAAGCCCATGAAACAATCGAAAAAGGCGAAAAAACCCTATATCCCACATACTGACCAAGATTACATGATGTAATGATCAGCATATTTTGAAAATTAAATATATCCGAGTCAGTTGTGATACTTACACTGAAAGAGGAAACATTTAGATTAGATATTAAGAAAAAATTCTTTACTGTAAGGGTGATGAGGCACTGGAACAGGTTGCCCAGAGAAGTTGTGGATGCTCCGTCTCTGGAAGTTTTCAAGACTGGGTTGGATGGGGTTTCATGCAACCTGGCCTAGCGGACTGTGTCCCTTCCATGGCAGGGGGATTGGAACTAGATAATCTTTAAGGTCCCTTCCAACACAAACCACTCTATGATTCTATGATATTGAATGCCCAGTGGCTTACCAATACCAGACACAGCCAAATCCAGTGAAACCATGTTAAATTTCTATTGCATTTTTCACATAGTGATACTTTATGCTCTTTCTCATCACATGGGAACAGAGGAGCTCCAAAACATTCTGAAGGTCAGAGGCTTGCTGCAGCTTCTCTGGTGTCCAGAACTTCAGGGGAAGCAATTGTTTATTATGCCTATGAAGAGACTTTTAAGAGACTTATGCATATAATAATTATTTCATATCATAAGGATAAGAAATATGCATAATACTACTCTGGAATTAATTACCCAATGGGAAACAATGTCATTTGTCTTGGTGACAGCATTTCACAAAAGCATATGGCTGTCTCATAATTCCCAATTCTATACATTATCATGAGGAACTGATGTTTATTTGGTCACCCACCACTTAAATAAACAAATAATTTAGCTGCAGATTTCCATTTAAGGGTACTGAGAAAGCTAAGGTCAAGAGTCTTCTCCAAGTAAAGTGGTGTTACAATGTTGCTCAGCCATTGCCACCCCAGGTCAGACTGAGGGAAGTAAGAATTCATTATTTTTTGCAGAAGTTCTCAAGACAGACTTTGGCACTATGAAGCCATTTTTGTCATTAAAGTGTTTTCCAAATTTTCATCAGTTTAACAATTGGCTGGGCTGAC